ATGCCCGGTATACCTTTTGATCAGGTAGGTGTTCGATAAATATGACTTGCTCCAACTCTTCGACTGTCGATTTGGTGGCGTCGGTATCATCAGGAGCCATGAAAATCTCAGAACTCCGTAATCATCCTCCGCGTCTACTCCTCATTCCTCCGGTTCGATCGAGACCAACATCATTGATTGCTATTTAATTTCTTTCTTTCTGGTCGGCTTCGTTCTCCTTGATGTCGAAACTGCGGGCACCGTGATTTCCTCGTCGACTGCGAACATTTCCTTTGCGGTCAGCTGCTCTCGGTAGACCGTCTTGGCTCCTCCCAGTGCAGGGAATTTCAGTGGCTGGTGCAAGGTCGAGGGCACCACCATCATGTTTTGAACCCACGGCCTTCCGAGTAAGGGGTTGTACCTTTATCCCCTTCGATCACATAGAACTTTGTATCTTGGGTCATCCCAGCGGTGTTTACCGGCAGGGTTATCTCCCGTTTAGTGGTTTTGCATGCCATGTTAAATCCGTTCAACACCCGGACTAACGACACTATTTGGTCCTGCAACCCCAATTGCTCTACGACCCTCGATCTGATGATGTTGGGTGAGCTACCTAGATCAATCAATACACGTTTAACTCGAGATTTATTGATAAGTACGGATATTACCAGCACATCATTGTGAGGTTTTACGATGCCCTCAGCCTCCTCGTCGTTGAACGAAATAGTCCACTCCGGGGCATAATCTCGGGTGCTTTTTTTCCTTGTGATAGATACTTTAGTGCGCTTTATCATTGGCCTTTAGGGGATATCAACCCCTCCAATGATTATGTTGATGATGTGTTGAGGCTCCTCTTGTTCATCCTGTTTGTTGGTGTCCCTGTTCCTGAAGTGGTTTTTGGCTTGATCACTCAGAAATTCTTGGAGGTGCCCGTTATTGAACAACCGGACGACTTCTTCTCTCAATTTTCGGCAATTCTCATTCCTGTGGCCATGAGTTCCATGATACTTACACATCAAGTTAGGATCTCTTTGGGTAGGGTCCGACTGCAATGGTCGAGGCCACTTGGTTTCCTTGATGTGCTCGATAGAAGATACGATGTTGGCAGCATCAACGTTGAAGTTTTACTCTGATAATATTGGTGCTTCCCTACCCCCGAGTGGCCTGTCGAAACCATTTTTGCTCATCAGACCTCGACTACTGGGCCCCCGCGCCTCTCTTTTCGTTCCTTGGGGGCTGACGCCCAGACCTGTTTTCCCTTCGGTCCGTGTTGTATGGTTGGTACCGATCCTGAACCGGCCTTACCTCATGATCGACGGTTCTCTTAGACCTGTCATCGGCCCTGATGGGGTGAATAGATCCGGAAGGGGCTCCAAGTTGGTTGTCCTCGACTCTGATCTTGGACTGGTAACTGTTGTTTATGTCGGCCCAAGTTACTGTCGGGTACTCTACGAAATTTTGTTTTAGCTATTGTGAAGCCAAAGAGCTTCGGGAGTTAAGTCCTTGAGTAAACGCCTGAACGACCCAATCATCTGTGACCGGAGGCAGGTCTATCCATTCCATTTGGAACCTCGACATGAACTCCCTGAGCATCTCATTGTCTCTTTGTTTAACCTTGAAAAGGTCCGATTTTCTGGTCTCAACCTTGATGGCCCCGGCATGGGCCTTCACAAAAGCATCTGCAAGCAACGAAAGCATCTGCAAGCATATTAAATGAGTCAATGGAATTTGGGGTAAGTAGTGATACCATATCATTGCTCCTTTGGACAACGTTTCCCCAAACTTTTTCAGTAACACCGACTTGATTTCATCATTTTCCAAGTCGTTCCCTTTGATTGTGCATGTATAGGAGGTCACATACTTATTCAGATTCGTGGTTCCGTTGTACTATGGATATCGGGCATACAAACCTTTCTGGGATTGGCTTCGGTGTCGTGCTCGGAGGGAAAGGCTTCTGGATAAACTTCTTAGAATCCGATCCTTTCAATATCAGAGGTCCTCCCGGGATTTGATCGACCCTGGAATTATATGTTTCCACCATTTTTTGTCATTTTCCTCAATTTTCTTTTCGCATGACTCCACCCGCTTCGTTAATGCTTCGAGCATTCTCATTATTTCGGGATTGACCCCAGGCTAAACTTCACCCGGTCTCTCGGTGGTCTGCTCATTTCTTCGGACGTTTTCCCGGGACGGTTCGGGCTCAACTCTGCTGGGGGTGTGGCTTTGATTCTGCAGCTGTGTTATCGCCGCCTGTTGAGCCTGCAACATTTCGAAGATTAACCATAGGCTTACCCCCATCACCTTCTCCTTCGGGCGCTTCTCGAGCTGTTGGTCGGGGTCCTCGCGAACGTTGCTTTCAAGGTCAGTTGGCAGGTTGACATCGATGGCTGCCTGTGAGTTAGCATTGACCAGATCGGCAACTGGGGCTCCGTTGGGATCAGCAGGAGGTACCTCGTTGCTAGGCACTAGATTGTTGTTCTCGCCATGATGGCCAGACTCAACGTCAACGTTCAAGTGGGCAGGTTGAGAATTTGACATTTTTAAAATTGACTTGAAATTAAGACTTTAAAGAACAAGCATAAAATAGAGTGTGTTATGGAGATCTGTATCAAATCACCACTATTATCCTTAGCCCCACGGTGGGCGCCTAACGGTTTACCCTTAAAGCGGATGAAAATCCAATTTGTACGTCGTTTTAAAGATACGTGGATTGATTCAATACAAATAGTCAAGAATTTTAGATAAATGAGTTAAAGATAAAATGAATAATCAAATCAATTGTGATGCTACGGCCTGGCCAGAACTTAGGTTGAACAATAGTTTTGCCCTCGATGGGACCCTTGTTCGAAGCCAATTGTGAATGAAGAACAAATAATCAAGTAAGAACTTTGCAATATCTAGAATTTAGAAAAATATATTTGTATTGCCTTGGTTTGCGTATTACAATATCTATTACCAAAGAAAAACTTTCCCTTTATATAGTAGGGAGTTTCATCTCTAGTACAAGTCTAAAAAAAGTAAAAATCTTCCTTTCTCATTAATTATTGATCAGTAACCGACATCGGACGAGATTTACACCGTGATATCCGGTTAGGTACGAATATCACGGCCCTCCATTAGTCGTACGTAACTGTTTGCAAGATTTCCCGAGGTCTTAGAGCTCGTTTCGGGTCTGAGGAGCGTTGCTTTATTACGCCCGACGATGAGCACATTATTCATCTTTCATGGGTCTCGGTACGAAAGGCTCCCAGCCTCGACTTCAACCTCATGTGTTCGTGCCCTTCTTCTGTCTTCTTCACCGGAAAATCAGGGTATGCATTATACCAGATTTTATCCGTATACAAATACTTCAAGTGGCTATTAAGTAGGTCAAGTAAACACCCGAGTACAGTAGACCATATGCGTGAGTTGCACTTGCCAATGACATATCAAATAGACCTATCAAAAAATGGCACGTGTAATTTTGCCATAAGAATTTGACACATGTAATCAACAAAAAATATACACTTGAAGAAGAAAAGAAACCTTCTTTTCCTAAACCAGCGCTCCCCCTCCCCCGCCCTCTCTCCTTCATTTTCTTCTGCTCGTCCCCTCTACTCAAATCCACCAGATTGTCTCAAAATAATGCATTCAGCGAAAAGATAATAGACTGAAACCAACAAATTGATAATTAAGAACCAATTCCAACAAATTAATAATAGATTGAAACCAACAAATTAATAATTGATATTTAAAAAACTGAATCTTGAACAAAAACTCCATCATAAATTCTCTTCTTTTGTAATTCTTTGACTTGAACCAATCTTGATTTTGGATCTTTTGATTTCCTCAAATCTTGTCTTTCTTTAAAGGGCAGAGAAAATGCAAACCTTCAGTAAATATATTGAAGAGTTGTATCAACAAGTAGCTTCTGTTCAACCAGCTAGTATATGTTAAATTCTATACTGAAGTGAAGGGTATGATGGAAAGGAATGAAATAGAAAGAAATTAAGCACGAGAAAATGTAGGCAGAGGTGATTTCGGCTGGAGGAGGGTGTCGAATGGTGGAGGAAAAAATTGGAGGAGAAGGAGGTGTGAAAACTAGATGGGGTCAACATCATTTTAGGAAGAAAAAAAAATCTAATTTTAGGTAAGCAACTCACGTCCCAGAGAGTGCATTTGGGCTGACATGATCGGGTGTTTAGTTGATCTTCTTTTGTGAATAAATAAAGTGTCTAGCTGGAAATGGGCTGAGTTGAAGTGTTTGTCTGATCGTTGAGGACAACTTAAAGGGGCCGTTTATGTATTTCGCCTAAAAAAAATATATGAATCCTAAATTGCTTTTGATTTATCTTATTTGATAATCGCATATTTGAATAATTTTAGGTACCATAGGTTAAAATTTCGCAACTTTTGTCATCTTAACAAATTGTTGAATATTTAGCTCATGACACCAAAATATTTGCATATATCATCAGATGACTTAGTCCAATAAAATTTTAGGTTACTATCATTATTCAAAATATTTAAAAATGTAAATAAATTTAACGATTAATACTCAAAGCAGACTAGTGTGGCATTACAACTTGAAAATATAATCTTTACAACATTACTATATATTAAGCGGTCATTTTATTAAGAGGACTAGGACAAATACTCCCATAAAAAAGTTTCCAATAAAATAAGCAATGTTTGATCGGAGAGATTGAGAAAAATAATTATCACATAAATAGCATTATTTAATTGGTTGTATAAGAACAAAAATCACCGCATACACTAATGCAGTGTTTAATATGCGTTAAACTAATATCCATAATAAGTTTGGCGAAAATTCATGCGTTATTTCAGTGGAAGAGCAAGAATTTCATTAAAGAAATTTAAAATATAAATAAGTAAACATACGAAAAAGCTTAAATATTCTTTTCACGTGTCACTGTACAACACAACTTTTTGTTGGACATTTGTTACCATATTGGGAAAAATTGGGTTTATATATATCGAAGTAATTGAAAGATGACATGTCATGACACGTAAGCTGGAAGATGACATCTCATGACACGTAAGCTGGTCAAAGAATGATGATTTGCAAAGAGGCATGAGTTGCAACAGATGCAAGCAGAGGTACAAGCACACGAGCAGATAATCAAAAGACTCGGTGCTCGTACCTATTTAAGTACAAAAATTAAGGAGAATGAATCTGACAGCACAAGAGAGTACAGATACAGTATTTAATAAGCATTAAATACTGAAAACGTCAGAAAATCTGTATTGAATTATAATGATTGTCATTGTAACGTAACATTCAATGCCTTTAATTGTCTATAATGGCCTTATTATGATAAAGGCAAAACGTATATCTGAGAAATAGTTATAAAAAGGAGAATACTGATCATTTGTAAGGACATGAAATATCATTGGAATATACTGATTACTTTATTTTCTTCTGTTCTTCTTATTATTATCAAAGCCAATTTCTTTCATTCATTTTATATATTGATTATCAGTAACCCGTGTTCTTCTAAAATAAAGCTTTGACCGAAATTACTATTTTTTGATTAAACAAATTGGTTCCGTTACCGGGAATCTGATAATCTATTCTTTCTTAACCTAACCTTTTTTGTTGCATCAATCATGTCAAACGTTAATGACAACAACCAAGGAAACCAAGGAAACCATCAACTCCAGGGGAATTCACAAGATGATCGCACCCCGATCCCTTCTCCACAAAGCTCCCCTCGGCGGTCTCGAGAAGGCACTCCTGATGGATCTCATTCAAATGCAAATGCTCAATTTGAAAATGATGAAGCTATCAATGAAGCTTTGCAAAAGCTAATCGCTCAACAGGTCAATAAAGCTCTTGAGGCCTTTGTCAGCCAGTTACCTGTTGCACCACCAACACCAACTCTAAATAACAACACTTTGGATAACCCTCGTTCTGGACTTGCTAATTCGGGCAGTGGTGGAATCCCCAGCGAGTCAAGAGATGGAGAACCAGGTAACTTAGTCAATTCTGATTTACAAAATTTAGTTCTAACATTGCAGAAATAGCTCAAGGAGCAAAGTGACCGCATAGAGCAAATACCTGGAGTACTGCCTGTAATCAAAGGGATAGATATGGACAAATATTCATAACAGCCTTGGAAGCCAAGTGCTGCTCCCCTCCCAATTCCAAAGGAATTCAAAATGCCCGATATTCCAAAATACGATGGAACAACTGATCCATGAGACCACGTGACTACATTTACAACTGGTGTAAAGGGCAACGATTTAACCAAACAAGAAATTGAATCAGTGTTGGTTAAAAAATTCGGTGAAACACTCACTAAGGGAGCATTAACATGGTATTCTCTTTTACCCGAAAATTCCATAAATTCTTTTGCTGAGCTTGCAAATTTATTTATCAAAGCATATTCGGGAGCTCAAAAAGTCGAAAAAAGAATGGAAAATATTTTCAAAATCAAGCAAGCGGACTCAGAGTTGCTTAGAGAGTTCGTGGATAGGTTCCAGCATGAAAGAATGACGTTACCACGCGTACCAGACAATTGGGCAGCTATAGCCTTTGCCAGTAATCTGAATGAAAAAAACTCAGAAGCCACGAGGCGACTCAAAAAAAGTCTTCGTGAATTCCCAGCGACAACATGGAATGATGTTTACAACAGGTATAGCATGAAGCTAAGGATAGAAGAAGACATTATCTCACGGTCTCAAAAAGAGGAAAAGGTGAGTTCGAGACGGGCGGAAACCGAAAAAAGGTCCGGTAAAAACAGATACGAACCATATATGGGCCCAGCGGGAAAAGATTCACGATCAAAACATGACAATTCAAGGTACGATCATAGATCGAGGAATAGAGAGTCGGGCTCATCATCAAGGTTTGGGAATGATCGTAACACGCGAGAGTCGCGGGATGATGATAGAAACTTGAAAGCAAGATTTGGCGGTTATAATTTTAATGTAAGAACTTCCGAGCTCATAGCTGTTTTAAGAAGCATGGGTGATAAGGTGCGGTGGCCAAAAGAAATGAGATCAAATCCAAACAGGCGCTATCCTGATCACTGGTGCGAATTTCACAATGATCATGGTCATAAAACGGCAGATTGTAGGTTGCTACAAGGTGAAGTTGATCATATGTTGAAGCAAGGGTATCTCACCGAATTATTCAGTGAGAAAGGTAAGCAAGCATACATGAAAAAATGGCAGGAGCCCCCTAAACCGCCTTCTCCCAAAAGGACCATTAATGATATAAGCGGAGGTAAGAAATTAATGGTGTGACGTACACCGCAGCCAATAAAGTTTCAAAAGTCACAATTACCCACGGGAAGCGGGTTCGACATGTTTTGGAGGAAGAAAGTAGTACATCTGATGATGCAGATGCAGATGGCGTGTTAACTCCACATAACGATGCACTGGTAATATCTCTACTTGTACATGATACTAATGTGAAACGAGTTTTGATTGATCCAGGTAGTTCCGTGAACATTATCCTGCTAAGAGTACTGCACGAGATGCAAGCTGAAGATAATCTAGTACTAAAGGCGCATACCTTGTCTAGATTCGACAACTCAAGCGTTGTGACAAAAGGGGAGGTAACGCTTACTACATTTGCAGAAGGGGTTATCAAGGATACAAAATTTCAGGCGGTAGAGTTGGAAATGACTTACAATATGATTCTCGGGAGACCATGGATCCACGAGATGGATGTCGTTCCGTCTACCTTGCATCAAGTTATCAAATTTCCATCACCATGGGGAATATGTCAAATTTGTGGGGATCAACAAACATCCAGATGCATCAACTCTGTAGCAGATTCAAATACGAGAAATAAAGACAAGTAGCAATTACAGCATCCAGTTGAGGATACCACAATACAAACCTCAACTGAACAAGGGCGAACAAATGTGGACTCACGACCCGATTCCATTCAAGAACCAGAGGAAAATAAAAATATTAAAACAACGATTGAGGAACTAGAGGTTGTGGAGTTATTTACACAATGGCCAGAAAGGAAAATCTACGTTGGGGCTAACCTGAGCCGCGATATGAAAGGTAAGTTGATTGAATTTTTAAAGACTAACGTGGATTGTTTTACCTGGTCCCATTCTGATATGACAAGAATTTCACCGGAAGTAATGACTCACAAGTTAAATGAACATCCATCATATCAACCCATCAAACAAAAGAAAAGAAAGCAGGGGACTTTCAAGAATCAGGTAATTCAAGATGAGCTGTGGAGTTATTTACACAATGGCCAGAAAGGAAAATCTAAGTTGGGGCTAACCTGAGCCGAAAGATGAAAGGCAAGTTGAGTAAATTATAAAGACTAACGTGGATTGTTTTGCCTGGTCCTATTCTGATATGATAGGAATTCCACCGGAAGTAATGACTCACAAGTTAAATGAAGACCCATCATATCAACCTATCAAACAAAAGAAAAGAAAGCAGGGGACTTTCAAGAATCAGGTAATTCAAGATGAGGTTAAAAAACTATTAAAAATTGGGTCTATCCGCGAGGTAAAGTATCCTAATTGGTTAGCTAATACTGTTGTGGTGCTGAAAAAGAATGGCAAATGGCGAGTTTGTGTAGATTACACAGACCTTAATAAAGCCTGTCCTAAAGATTCTTTTCCATTACCACATATAGATCAACTAATTGATGCTACTGCAGGACATGAGTTATTAAGCTTTTTAGATGCGTATTCCGGGTACAATCAGATCAAAATAGATCCCCTAGATGAAGAAAAGACTTCATTTATCACAGACAGGGGGACTTAATGTTATAAGGTAATGCCTTTTGGTCTCAAAAATGCTAGTGCAGCGTATCAAAGATTGGTAACCAAAATGTTCCAAGAACATTTGGGAAAAACTATGGAAATCTATATAGATGATATGCTTGTCAAATCTCAACAATCAAGAGATCATATATCCCATTTAACTGATACATTTCAGATTTTACGAAAATTCAATATGAAACTAAATCCCGAGAAATGTGCGTTTGGTGTTTCATCAGGTAACTTTTTAGATTTTCTTGTTTCTAACCGTGGTATTGAAGTAAATCCCGCGCATATTAAAGCCATTGAAGAAATTCCTGACATGCTTACAAATAAGAAAGACGTGCAAAGACTAACGGGGAGAATTGCAGCTTTGGGAAGATTTATTTCCAAATCATCAGAAAAATGTTTTAAATTCTTTTCAGCTCTTAAAAAGCAAGACCAGTTCGAATGGACTGAGGAGTGTCAACAAGCACTCAAAAACTTGAAGACGTACCTGTCAAATCCACCATTGCTCGCAAAACCAAAGGTTGGGGAAAGATTGCTCATCTATCTTGCTGTCTCAGAAGTAGCGGTGAGTGCTGTTTTAGTTCGTGAAGACCAAGGTAAACAATCTCCAATTTATTATGTCAACAAATCATTATTAGATGCGGAGACACGGTATCCTCAATTAGAAAAGCTTGCACTTGCACTAATCATGGCATCTAGGAAACTAAGGCCTTATTTTCATTGTCATCCTATTACCATAGTAACTGCTTATCCCTTACGCAATATATTATACAAGCATGAGTTGTCAGGTACGTTAGCCAAATGGGCTATAGAGTTAAGTGAATATGACATCACATACCAGCCCAGAACCGCGATAAAATCTCAGGTGTTAGCAGATTTTTTGGCTGATTTTAGCCAAGGAATGCAATTAGAAGCAGAAAAAGAATTACAAGTGTTCAACGGATCTAATCCAGGAATTTGGACCTTATTTGCCGATGGTTCATCTAATGTGAAGGGGGCAGGCTTAGGAATTGTTTTGGTACCACCTACGGGTGAAACCATTCGACAAGCCATTAAATGTCATTCTATAACTAACAATGAGGCAGAGTATGAAGCTGTGATTGCGGGTTTAGAACTGGCACGAGAACTCGGCATTAATCAGATTGTAATTAAAAGCGATTCGCAGCTTGTAGTTAACCAAATGTTGGGGACTTACGCAGCCAGGGAAGCACGAATGCAACAGTACTTAGAGAAGGTATGGGATTTGGTTAAGCAATTTCAAACCTGGAAAGTAACGCAGATAACAAGAGATGAGAATGTCGAGGCAGATGCCTTAGCCAATCTCGCATCTGCAGCAAACGTGGCGAGCAATGAAAATGCTTCTATAATTTATTTGTTTCATTCAGTACTCGACCCAGATAAAAATGAGGTAAA